TGATCCTTTTGTATATGGGATGCTCTTGTTGTGTTGTCCCCCTCCCTTCCCATCCGTTTCCGTTCCAGCAGCAGCAGCAAGCAAGCAGCCTGTTGGATGTGAAGAGGATCGCACCCCCCTCTTCCTTTTTGGAATGCGCGAGGCCAGAAAGTACTAGTGTTGAAGGCCAAAAGTGTTGCAAGAAAAGAAAAGTTTGCCACGCACACCGGCAGCAGTGGGGGAAGCGGGGGGGGGAGACAAAAAGACCCCAACAAATTTTTTCCCAGTTTTTTTTTTATTTTATTTTTTCTTGTTCCCTTTTCCCACCGAGTCCCAGGGCCCCAGGTCTCTTGTCCCCAGGTCTCCCACACACAGGTCTCCCCTTCATCATCAAAAAATGCAAAGGAACTTGTTTTCTTCCCCGACCCGATACAAACAGACAGCACCCAATGTTGGGTGCAACGAAAAAGCGAGCGTGACACCCAAAACAAACTCGCCCCTCTCTCTCTCTCTCATCACCTTGGATCCCTTCCCCCCCCCGCGTCCATCACTACCTTGAAGGGAGAGGGGGGGGATCCCATATATATACCCAACAGGCCGCTTTTTATACTAATATACTACTATACGCCCACACCCCCTCACACAAAGAGACACACCCTCTCTGACCTCTCTCCACAACTTGTCAAAAAAATTGGAAAGAGAGAGAGAGAGAGAGCAAGAGCGGGGCCAACAAATCACAGTTGTTTTGGGACTCTTGGGAGTGGCTGGAGAGAACAGAGAACAGAGAGAGGGGGGGAGTGGCGCAGCGATGGGGAGGCGATAAAATTTTAACGTTTCCTTTCCCCCTTCCCCCCAAAAACCACGACCCCCCCCCCCCTTTTTTTCCTTTTTTCTCTTTGCCCACGCCACGCGATTATATTAAAAACAGAGGCCAAAAAGGGCGGGTGTTGTGGGAAAAAGGAGAACGTGGGTGTCTTTTCTTTTTTTGGGGGGGTGCTTGTTGTGTCATATTCTCTCTCTCTCTCTCTCCAAAAAGGCTTGTCTTGAAACACACAATATTGAAAAGAGAGAGAAATTAGTACTTTTTGTTTGACGCCGCGTCCATGGACCATGGCTCCAAGAGGGGAAGAGAGAAGAGGGAAGGGGTCCACGGCCTGTACCCCTTGATCAATCCCCCGTGTTCCTTTTTTCGGAATGCATTCCGAAAGACTCCGAGTAGGGAGGGAGGACTCACTCCTCCACCTTGAATTCGCCCCCACTGCCTCCAAAACAACAACAGTCCATCCGCAAAGAAGACGGATCACCCTCATCCCTCAACATACTCCACGACTTCCACAGCCTCCCATCATCTCGTATATCCGATAGAATCCGAGAGTGTTTTGGCCTCCATGGACTCTGGGTTCAAAAGACGGAGAGGCCAGGGGGGGGGACCTCTGTTTTGGACTGTGTTGGTGATGGGGGCGAGTCTGTGATTGGATGAAAGAGAAGAGAGAGGCGGTGCCAACGAACGGCAGCGAGTGGGGCAGAGAGGGGTGGCTGGGAGGAGAAGAAGAGAAGCAGCCAATCAGAGCATGAGAGACTCAGCCCCTGCCCCAAGAAGAGAGGGGCAAGTTTGTGTGACGCTTGTGTTCAGCACGGGGTGTTTGTGCTACTCTCCTTCATCCCAAGGGTGGAAACTCGCTATCTCTGCACAAGTCCGACTGTCCGAGAGCAGTGAAAGGGGGAAGGCAAAAAGACGCAGTGAGCCGTTTCCACCGCCTCCGATTTCCACCCCGTTGCCTTCCCGCCCTTTTTTACTTTTTTTTTTTTTTTACTTCTTCCTCCCCTTTTGCCCTTCCCCTTCCCTTCCCCACCTGCAATTTTTGCACCCTGCGTGGTTCACATTTGCATTTGATCTGGTGGGCTATTTAAAGAAACGTCCTTTCCCTCTTCCTCCCCCTTCAAACACCGTCTTCCACACTACACACCCTCGCTTCCTTCAACACCCCGGGGGGGGGCGCCCCCCCCCCCCCCCACCCACACCCCACCACCCCAGCCCCCCCAACAACAACCACCGCCAACATGCAGCAGCCCCAGGTCGTCATGGCAGTCAACCCCGCCGAGATGTGCGCCGCCGGCGGCATCCACGCCATCACCGACGAGTTCACCTGCTGCGGTATCACCCTCGCCATCCTCTTCTTCCCCATCGTGAGTTGCTTTTCTGTTTTTCGAGTTCTGTTTTCTTGGAACCCCATCGCTGACCAACGTTGTCAACAGGGTCTCGTCTGCTGCTTCCTGATGAAGGAGAAAAAGTGCCAAAAGTGCGGTGCCCGCTTCTAAGGCGCTTGTCTTGATCACCGACGTCACTTCCCGTCACCACCTTTACTCGAAACATGGCTGCAAGGTCTTGCTTTTCCTTCAAACATAACGACCCATCCACACCACCACAACCCACACCTGCAAGACTCTACACACATCAACATCCGATCAAACTTCCACACCCCCCCGTCTACACCTCTGTTCGTCAATCTGTCGTTCTCTCGTTCTCTTTTGAAGAATAAAAAACCGCTTCTTTTTTTTTGCAATATCATCTCTTTTTCTCCGTGACAGCGAGCGGAGCGAGCCTCTCTGTCCTTTTGAGTGCGATCATCCGTGACAGCAAGCGAAAGCGAGCCTCTCTGTACTCTGAGTGCGATGGATCCTTCAGAGTGCGATGGACACGTCATGCATTCCTCCGTGCTAAGCACTGTTTGCTGTTGACACACAATTGCCATCCGTGACAGCGAGCAAAGCGAGGCAGTCAAGTACATTATTGTGTGTGATATGGACTGTATTCGATGGACACGTCATGCTGTGCATGGGTGCGATGGCCTTTGGTCCCAAAGAGTAGTCGCCGTCGCCGTCGCGGGAGGCGTCTGTCTGTTCTCTTCAGCCCTCCGATCCTCTTCTTTTTGATTGGGGGAGAGCAGACTACTAATTGGAATGACTCTCTTTTCCTTGTCTCTTTTTTTGTACTTCCGTGTGATCTTCCTCTTGAACATGGGCCGCACTGCCGCAGAGTAGTGTTTGTGTTCAGGAGACAAAAGGACCCCTCTCTTTATTTTTTTTAAAGGTTTCTTCTTTTCAAAAAGACCTTGCGCCTTGGCGACGCTCCCAACGCGTCTATTCCTTCGAACACTCCCACGACCTCAATAATGCCGCTTCATCACCTAATTTCTCCAAGTTAGATACCCAACAAAAAACACACATCACAACAACCAAAAGCACTCACCTCCTCCGTAAAGCTTCTAAACGTCACCCCATCCCTCAACACATACTCTGTCTCGGGCTGCAAAAACACCGCAAACGTGTTCCTCGACACCCCCGGCGCCGCGCCGCTCTTGACAAGGTGCGGGGTCGCCACGAGGAGACCCCCCGAGGCGAGCTGGGAGGCTTCGCCGAGTTGGAAGGCGAGGCTGGCGCGTGGGATGTTGACCTTTGCGGGGGGTTAAAAAAAGGGGAGAGGGGAAGGATGGGGAGCTGTACCTTGATGTAGGAACCACCGCGGTCTTGGATGTAGAGTCCGGATTGTTCGAGGTCTCCGCGTTCTTCGGCGGGGAGGTCGCCCACGTTGATCTCGGTGTACGAAGGGTCGCTATCCCTGACATACATGGCGCTCGTCAACCCCGTCAGCTACCCGCCCCCACAAAAAACAAGTTTAGTCCAAACTTTCCAAAAACACATCCCTCGCAAAGACAACAACCTTACCATGGCATGATCCACATGCAACCCACACCAGCTCCCCATCTTCCCCTCCCCCGCCTTCTCCGCCACCGGAAAATAATGCAACAACCTCGCCTTATGCGTCGTCGACGTCTCCAACGCATTCTGCAAAAACCCCTCGGGAACGGCCGGATCACGGGCATGAATGTACTTGTCGCAATGCCGGGCGAGCTTGAAGCCAACCTGAGCAATAAAGCCACCAAGCTAACCGGGGAGGAGCGTTAAGCGTTTGGGGGGAAGGGGAAGGAACTTACGTCCATGTAGGCTTCTTTCAGTTCCGGGAGCTCCGCAGGCCACACATTGTCGTAGCCGTAGGTGGGGTTGTTGAGTTTGTAGTCGGGGTCGTGGTGGTTGGGGTTGGTGTCGTGGAGAGGGTTGTTGTAGTAGCTGCCTTTGGCGAAATCGAGGCTGCCTTCGATGCGTTCTTTGCCGTGGGACCTTAAAAAGCAAACCCCACAAACAAATGGGTTTAAGAAACGGTTGAGGGGGGTTGAAGGGGGTTGGACTCACCACCCAAAGCAGTAGATGGAGGCTTCGTGAACGCAACGCTGCTTGGCTTCTTCGGGGAGGGCAGCAAACACGGATGCGAGACGGAGGAGACGTTCACGTTTCTCGACAAAGCCCTGGCAAACCATTTCCAGATCAACTTTCGCCTTTTCGAACACCAAGCATCATCCCATCGGCATCCACATTGCAATCCGACAGGCAATTCGGCCCGGAAGGGAGAAAACCACTCACCGGCAGATCCGTGATGACCACAATCCCCAGACACTCGGGGGAGTTACCAAACCCCTCAGCAATCTGGCGGGACAGGTCCGTCGTGTTGGAGCAGAGGTCTTCGTACTTGATCGTCACCACCATGATGTGCTTTTTCGAAAGGATGCCGTGGATGCGTCGGGTTGGGATGGACGAGGATATGCAGCCGATTTGGGGGGGAAGGGATGTCACACAAGGTGTTTTTGCGTTGCATGTGCGTTCCTCAAAAACTCGATGCCCGTCATGTTGGGGTGTGCTTCTGCGCCAACACGACACTCGGCCATCGCACGCCTCTCTCCGACAGATAACCCCCCCCAGCTTGCCCAGCGATACACGCAATGCCGTTTGGAGCGATTCCCTGGTCGAAAAAAAAGGTGTCCATCATCAGCGCCGTCTAGCCAGCACAGACAGAAAAAAAGGAAATACCTCAACAGGGGAAAAACTGCGATGGACGGGAATCGAACCCGTGACTCACGCTTGGGAAGCGTAAATTTTACCACTAAACTACCAACGCATACATTATGTGGAGGCACTGGGGATCGAACCCAGGGTCTTCAGCATGCGAAGCAGACGCCATACCACTTGGCCATACCCCCTTGTTGTTATTCCCCAAAAGCAATTGTACATTATATACGTGTTAAAAAAATGAAAATCAACGTTTGAAATGATTTATCCGCATCCTCGACAATTTATCCGCATCCCCTTTCACCGACGATTCTTCGCCCCGAACTGAGGGAGTCTGATGAAAACATCAAGGAGCTAGTGGCCATAATGGCCTTTATCATTCCAAAGAGAATGCTCAGGCAAAGACGCCGTCTTTCACTTGGTAAACTCGGCTTCTTGTATTCAGGGGAAAGTCGTCATAGAGTGTTCCATCACCAAAACACAGAAAGCAAAGTCGGAGAACCTCCACAGTCGCATGAAGGAGGCAAACAAGTCAAGAAAAGAAAACAGAACATCCGGGTAAACCGACGCCCGACCAGCTTCTGGGACCTATCTGCACCCGCCAAACACCCTCCGATGAAAAGAAAACGCAGTAACTTTCAAGATGCTGCGCCATCGGACGAGGGGCGAGGTCGCAGATTGGCCATACACGCCGTTTTCCGCTGTCGCAAGCCACATCCCACACTCAATATTGTAAAGATCCTTTGCTCGCTGCCTTAGGTGAAATCAGGACCTGCCCATGTCTCGGACTTCCCCAAAGCAGTTTTAGACCTGCTTCCGCCCCGGCACCACCTTCAGTCCCCGCTGCTCCCGCTTGCGGTCACGGACAATGTGGATCCAGGTGACGAGGAAGAAGAAGCCGATGAAAAGCCCAATGAGCCCAATATAAAACACCGCGGCGAACTTGGACGTCGTGTCGAGGAAGGGGTAGACCCAGTATCCGGATGGACTAAATCAGGCGCGGAAGGAGAGGAGTTGGGTTAGCGCGAGGGTTGAGGACGGGAAGGAGCGAAAAAAAAAAAAAAACTTACTATTCTTTCGGGTAGTCCCTCACAAAGGGCTCGTAGGCAAGGTGGTAGATGTGGGTGTAGGCCAGGTAGAGGAGCGACACGGCCAGGAAGCCGGTCCACTGTGTGTAGACGAGCGGGACGCGGGCATACAGGAACTCAAAGAACATGAAGAACAAGTCAAAGAGGTGCATGTTGACGTTGAACCTGATATCCAAGGAAGTGTCAGAAGATTATCTTTCAAGAAGAAGCATGGCAAAAACATGGAGGACTAACTAACCAGATGAAAGCAGCGTTGGGCTTTTGGAACATGGGAAGGGCGAGGACGCTCCAGAATACGAGAGGGACAATATAGTGATACACTGCTGGAAGCATATAGAGGTTCCAGTTGAGCCACCGCAGCCACTTGGGGCGCGCGTTGAGGGTCGCCGCCGAGTAGTTGTTTTTGATGTACACATACGAGTTGTAAGCGGCCGCCTGTAAGAGCAGTTAGAATAATCGAAACGAGCTTGAAACGCATCGTGTCTGGAACTTACAAGGAAGTAAATTTCCATGCCAATCCTTCAAGATAGCAAGAGACCGCAAGATTGAGTCAGCCGGCACAAGTTTTAAAGAGGGAGCGCTGGGAACATACCAGGAAAGGTTCGTAAAGTACGCCAAAAACTCCGAGTTTCCGATCCCGGGAGCCACAAATCGCGGCTTTTCCGTCAGGAGCTGCATCGGAATCACATGGATCGAGTACACAAAGATGCCAATTCTTATCCACATCAGCGCCTCAGGGCTGATCCTGTGGGAAGTGACAAGACGCTCATCGTCCAACTTGTCCAGCGCAGGGTCAATGTAAGCCCATAGCTTGGAGGAGGTGGAAGGGGATGCCGGGGAGGGGAGCAGGGAGCTGGTGGTGCCCTTTTCCAGGTCGTTCGAGTGGGAAGGACCGCTTTTGGCGTCGGAGGCGGCGGAAGCTTCGACGGCCACTGTTTCGGCGGATGTGGATGGGGTTGACGGAGCGGGCTGTTCGTTGGTGACGACGGCGACGGCGTCGGACACCGCAGTGGCCTCAGGGGATGCTGTTGCCGTCATGGGCGATAAAGCGGAAGCGGAACGAAGGATTTCGGCAAAGTGCAGAAATCTTCCGCCCGTCGGTCGTGGACTGGTGGAGTGGACACTGGACAGCGGTCTTCTGAGACTCTTTGTCACACGTGGACACAGGGAGGGTTTTTGACCCACGCGACTTTTGGGTAAGCTCCTTGTGACGACGAAGCACCCTCCTTGAAAGTTGAATAAATGCAAGCACCCCGGAGCAGTCAACACAGATCTGAGACTTTGTTGGGAGACGATCCGGATTCTTCTCGTCATCCATCACAGAGAGACGGATGGACTCATAGGATCAAGCACGGCGTCGACAGTCCGCAGATGAGAGGGGGTTATAATCTGAGGGTGAGTGCGGATATTTGTGAGGTAGAAGTTCAGCGCAGAGAGTCCAGATGGTTTGTGGAATTCATTGAATTCAACAGCGAGAGTGGTGGCCTGCACAAACTGGTTCTGGTTTTTGTTTTTTTTTTCTTGTGTTTGTGATACGCTCGCGCAAAGATGTTTCTCACGCAACGAAACACATTCTGACACACAACCCCGCGTTCAAAAAGACTCGTCGTCATCCACATCCTTCACGCCCATCCGCTCACCACGCCGTCGATACTTTGCGTTCTTATCAGGACGCGACCGGGACCGCGGCTCCCTTTCCCCTTCCACCCGCTTTCCATTCCCATCGTCCCTGACAACAGGCCGTCTCTTTGAAGACAAGCCCGTGGGATCGTCCCCAAAGGAGGGTTGGTAGCTTCCATCCGGGGCATTTCGGAAAGAGATTGATGAGCCTGGTCTACTCTTTTCCCTGCGCCGTCCGCGTGTCTCACGATGGCTCTCCAGATCCTCCGCCTCCTCCTCTTCGTCTAAACCCCGCTCATCCCCACCCGCACGTATCCACGGCTGTTGGGAGTCCTTTTCTCGTATCTTTGACGTCTGCCGCGATGACGGCTTGGCCGATGTACCACCGCCGCCACGCGTTTTGCTCCCTCCACGACTCCGGCCGCCGCGGTCTCCGTCATCCGAACCAGCCCGACGCGGCCGTCGGCCAGTCGATGGAGGCGGTGCAGGGTCGGTATCGGGCGGTCGCCGTCGCGGGACGGAAGGTGCTTTCTCACCATCTTCGGACGGCGACGCGCCGTAGTAGCTTTGGATCATCTCTTCCTCCAGGTTGGCCAGGGGGTCGTCCTCTCCGTATTCGTCCTTCAGGAGCTGGTCGTAGTAGGGGTAGTCATTGAAATCGGTGGATCGAGAAGGTGGAAACTTTGTCCCTTCAGGCTGGTTGCTTGGGTTTCGGGACTTGCGTCCGGTAGCTTTTGCGGTATTGTCGGGGTTGTTGTCCCGCTTGCCATCTCCTGTCTTTGAAGCTGCTCGTGGCCCTTTCCTTCCAGTCCCTCCGTCCTTCTGGTCCGAAGCGGACCTCTCTCTCCTCATCGCAGAACCCGTTTCCCTGTTCTTCGCACCTTCCCCCTTGGTCTTGGACAACTTCCCAGTGGATCTCACCTTGTGCGCCGCCGCAGCCGGGACAAGTTCCTCCTCATCCACTACCGCCTCGTCCTCATTCCCCAAGCTTGTTTCAGGGCTATACGAAGTCGTCGACATTGGGCCCCAGCCAACCGCCCGTGGCCCTCCGCTTTGCGGTCGCATCTTCCAAGCGCTCTCCACCCTCGGCCCGGGTCCCCCACCATCACCTGCATCGCCCATCCACCCCGCCATCGTTCCCGACGACGGCCGCTCCGACCCTGTGCCAACCGACCACCGCAACTCCGCGTTCGTCGCGGCCTCACCCCCTCCCCGCGCCGATTTGGGCCGCAGAGCAGGCTTGAGGTTGTACCGCGGCGCATTCGAAGACGTGGTGGGAGGGCTCATCACGATGCCGTTCACCACCGGCAGCGCGGCGTCCGTCTGTGGGCGTCGGGACGAGCCGGGGCGGGACGGTGTGGGGGCGGTGAGCGGAGAGCCGGGGCCGCTGTGGCCGGGCAACGCGCTGCCAGGGCGACTTCGACTCTTCGTGGCGGCTGTCCCTGGCCGTGACGAGGCGTGCAATGGTGGGGACAGTCCGGCGGTGTTTGGACGAGAGGATTCGGCGGTGTTGGGTAACGTTATTTCCACGCCCGCCGGCGAGGTGATATCCACTACAATGCTCGCATTTCCAATTGGTCTGGCGGCGATGGTACCGGAACTCGGGGTAGGGCCTGACGTCGACGATGCCAAGACAGCGGTGTGTTCAGCTCCTCCGCTCGTCCCGTTCGACGCCTGCGCGGCTCCTCGGTTCAAGCCAGCCCCCATCACCCTTGGGGTAGGCCCCGCAGCGGCCATCAGATTGGTCTTAGACCCCTCCTCTGCCAAGTTCAGCAGCGACTGCGAAAAGTTCTGCGACGGCACTGTTGAATCCAGTGTCCCCAAGCTCTCCTCTTCCGACTCGGCGTCATTCCCAAAGGCGTACCTCCCGCCTCCCGCCTTCCCGGTCCCAGGCCTCGACGGACCAGCACCCAGCTGCTTGTTCGTCGCCCCGCTCTGCGGCCTCCTCATCCGCCTGAATGTCTTCCACAAACTTGGCGCCTCTTTCCTCGCCGCGCCATCCTTGCCCGACGACCGCGCGTCGTGCATCGGCGACACAACGAGATCCTCGCCGCCGTCGAGCCCTCCGATCCCCGCCCCGTCAGACACCGCGATGCCGCCAACCTCGACCTGGCCCATGCGCGTCCATCCGTCCGTGCGCCGGACGTGAGGCGGGCCGGCGCCGTCGTACCCAAAGCCGAATCCTCCGGCGTCGTGCGGCGGGATGTAGCCGCCGCCGGGCGTCGCCCACCAACAATCCGTGTCGTCCTCAATCACGAACGGGGATGCGGCGGGGGTAGAGGGGGAGGCGCCGTCGCCTGCGCCGTCGGGGTGGTTGGCGGAGGGGGCCACGGGCGACCCGTGCTCGGGGGACGCGGCGACGATCAGCGGCCGCTTCGACGGCTGTCCGTAGCTCGCGGCGGCGAACCAGGCGGGGTCGTTCTCCTCGGCGTCGTCAATGTCCTTAGGCTGCTTCCGGGCTGCGGCGCGGGCCTTGTGCAGCG